GGAGGCCATCGCTAATATAGGTTGGAGTCCATCGCTATTATAGGTTGGAGGCCATCGCTAGTAGGTTGGAGGCCATCGCTAGTAGGTTGGTTATTGAAGTACTTTTTCTATAAGTGTATTTTTTGGGACGGTTTTTTGGACGGTTTCTGGATCCACCTTTACGCAGAAAATTTTGAGCTGCGAGATCTCTTCAACTCGGCTGCATCGCAAAAGCCTATGCCGAATTTAGACATTTTTCAATCTCGTTGCTGGGGTTCACAAGATTGGGTTGATTTCGGGTTCAAGATCCATGGCCATTTTGCTGGCCTTTTCAAAAGGCCGAGTACAGCAGAACCTGTGACGCCAGGCCACTAGGGTGTCAAAGTTGACCCAGAAGCAGTTGAGTGAATTCCTAGCCCTTCACTTGCGACGGAGAAGTAGCAGTCCACGCCCCTATTATGTACATAGTGTAGATAGTCAACAATTTACGCAGGACCTTCAAAATGACCCCTTTGGAGTCTCTGAGTAACCTCTTTGATAACCAAGATTACCTCATGATGACCTCAGACATCTGCCTTGTTGCTAGTAGTATAAGGCCAGGAACTACGTTCGTAGCGTCCGATCGCTCCGAGCGTAGTGACGCCCAGGCTGTTCCGTTCGTAGCTTCTTGTTATCTCAAGTTCAATCACTTTGGTCCTGGAGTCTGTTGGGACACCTCCAGCGGGTCCCTGGTCGCAGATCCGCTCCGTTCAGGCCACCTCACCTGTCGCCTTTCGTGGACGTCTGCCTGCCACAAGTTGTCTTCCGCACCGGTTCTGCCGGGTGAAGCACCCGCCAGGTGAGATGGAATTCTTAGTACAGACTCACCACAAAAAATCCATCAGCCACTTGATTGGTCACATTGATCCATGTCCAAACCAACCAACATCAGCCAACTCATGGCTCTCGAGCAGAGAGCATCCCTGTGGCTGGTCCCAAGGCAACACGTCTCGTTTCACGAGCGCGTGGTCGACTTGACCACTGCGCCGGGCGAATCTCAACCTACTTCTCAACCTATAAGAAGAAGACGGAACGGCTTCCTGATTTAGATGAATTTCAAACAGAGAAGAATGAGCTCTTCTCGAACCCTTTGAGAGGACCATTCAATTTTCAGATCTCCAAAATGAACAATTCTCACATATGCATGGGTGATTATTGCATATTATTGGTGTACCCCATTTTGACATCGCCTGCACGCCAGGATAAGGCCGAGGGCTACGTTCCCCGGCAGAGGGAGGTCTTGGACCGCTTCGCGGCGGAGGTGGGGCCTCAGGGGGTTTGGCTCAAAACCCGATGTGGGCATGGGTCAAAATAGGGGATTCTCATTATAAACCAATGGTTGGGGGGGTACCCCTATTTTGACCCATAGCCATGTGTTACCTCCGGGCCGGGCTTTCTTCGGGCCCGGAGGCACCGAATGATCGACTCTGTGGGACGTCCATCGAAGGAGGGAATCGATTCGACTCCCGTTTCGTGGCCATTCGACTAATTGGATGCGTATTTGAATAGGGAGACCCATGGAGACCTCCTGGCTGGGTAGACTGGTCTATTTTCGGGTGTCGTTGCCTGAGAGGTCTCAGTATGGGTGCCAGAAGCATACTGTTTGGGTGGCTTGTCTGGACATACCCTGCACTACGACCCAGGATTGGCAGACAGGATCACCCAGACGCTCCAGGAACCATCCAACCAACGCTCTTAGGTTGGAGGCCATCGCTACGAACGGAGCAAGAAGCCAGGAACGTGGCTCCAGGCATTATACTACTATAAAGAAGAGGACGCTACTAGGGGCTCCTGGCCTTACTACTAGGAGCGGAGGCTACGACCGGGTGGAGGCCGCTTTGAGGTTGTTCTGCTCCAGGAACCCCGACCGCCAGGTCTCTCGTTGCGTCCGTCAGGTCTCTGGCAAAGCGGTCGAGGCCACCGAGGAGCGCCATTCCGTCCGTCGCCGTCTGCCATCTGCCGCGCCACCTCTGCCGAGCTGCGGGCCAAGGAATCGCAGTGTCCTTTTGTTCGGATTCCCCGAAATAAGTTTTTAATTTCGCTACTAGGAACAAGTGCCACGCTAGTAGTAACAGGTGCCTTACTAGTAGTAACAAAAAGCTATTCATTTAACTTTAATTCTAATAGCTTCTTGTTACTACTAGTAAGGCACTTGTTACTACTAGCGAGGCACTTGTAATTACTAGCAAAGGAATCTACTTGATTCGTCAGAATTGGGTGTCCACCTGTCCTCCAATGTTTCTCCTGGGAGTCCAAGACTAAGACCCTTCGTCTGCAAATACATATTGACTCGGTGTGATCGAGTCCGTCTGGAACTTCCTTTGATGGTACCTTTTACATGACTCTTTGGACTTCGTATTTTGGGTCCACAAATTTTTCCAACCTTTTTTGGGGAGTTCGAGCCCCACGGCGTCGGTGCGGACCGTTGCGCGGATGGATGGAAAGATGTGGAAGAAGATCGAAGAAATCGGTTGAAGATTGAAGATGTTCTGGTCTTCTTGGTTTGTTTTGCTTCAACATGGGGTCCATCGCCAGTAGGTTGGAGGCCATTGCTAGTAGGTTGGAGTATCTCCTATTCCTTCCAAACACCTTGCCTTGAAGGCAGGAGAAAGTTCATTGCGCAGGAGGCAGCCGGTGGTCCGGCCGTGGGTGGAAGTGGCGGCATGCAGCAGTTCGGAGAGGCAGGGGATTTCCGTGGTCACACTGGCGGACGTGTCACATCCTTTGCCAAAACATGGCAGGTCCCAGGTGAGCTCTTTTTTTCCAGGCTGGATCTGCACAATTCCTCTATACAATGCTTGGATTTGTCGGTTGCAACCATGGTTGGTCCGATATTCAGTTGGGTGTCTTTATTAGCGTTTCCAACCTCAACACGACCAACGGATGGCGGCGTTTCCCACGGTTTCCCACCGTGAAACCCAGCGCCGAGCTTCCGGCCACACTCCCCCTCCTAAGCTGAAGAGGAAGCGCTGGCCTCCAACCTAAAAGCGATGGCCTCCACCCGGTCGTAGGCTCTTGTTCCTAGTAGTAATGCCAGGAGCTACGTTCCTGGCTTTTGGCTACGTTCGTAGCATCCTTGCTCCGATCGCTGCCAGGAATTGAAGGCGGAAGCTCAAGGCCTTTGGCACTCCGAGCCCGGAAGCTCGTGAGCTACGCGCGGGCGGAGAGCCGCGTGAGCTGCGCGGAAGCGGGTGGAGCGAGGAGGGCCGTGTTGGTGGGTGCACCAGCCTGTGAAGGATGGAGTGTCGAGGCTAGGACTTCCTAGATTGGCCACCTATTGGCCAATGGAATAGCTTGAATGGGAATTAACATTGATTAAATTGCGGAAAGGGAACTTGATCCTTCCGATGCAAAATTTGATAGTCGTTGGGTATGGCGAAAAAAGCGACTCAAGTCCACACGAAAAGCTATCAGGTGGTTGGGGGTTCCTCATTATGCATGTGGTCACGGCTTTCAGGCAGAGGTCTGCCACAATCAGTGTGATGTTCAACACATGAACAGAGACTGACCACTAAGTGACCACTAAAGGGTGGCTGTTGAAGATTCGATTAAGGTATCAGCAGAAGAGAGAAGAGAGCGCAGCTGCCAAGATGGCTGAGGAGGCAACGCGGGTGATACTTGCAACAATGGTGTGAACGGCTGTTTTGGGGCGCTGAAAAAGGACACCCGGATGCTGTTTCAGGGATAAAGCAATCCTCATTCTCATATCCTGAAACGATCATGATGATTGTACACATCAACTCGGAGGTGGTTGGGAAGGCGATCGCCTTAAAGTTCCAGATAACAACACTCTTGCAGGGTGCACGCTTTTCTGTGTGTGGTTCTTTTTGTGTCGTAACACTTTCAACCTGCATAGCATTCTCACACGGACTTCATTTTTTGAAAGAACCCCCCGGCCCCCGGCCCAGAACATCCCCCATCAACTGCGGCGTTCATCTTCAGTGGCCTTTTCAGAGTAGTAACAAAGGGCATCGCTACTAGGAGCGATCGGACGCTACTAGGGCCTCCTGGCATCGCTACTAGGAACAAGAAGCTATTAGTAACAAGTGCCACGCTAGTAGTAACAGGTGCCTTACTAGTAGTAACAAGAAGCT